CTGTAAATCATGTTGTATAAAAAAAACTGTAGTAGAAAAATGCTGCTTTTAATTATGTGCTTTTCTCCATTAATTTGATTTGACATAAATGTGTTTATATACTTCTATATGTAACATATAACACATTTATAGCAGCAGGAACATTTTAAAATTTCCAAAATTGAGAAGGTGAAAAGAAGGCTTCATTGCAATATAAACAATGGACATAAGCTTCAAATTCCTAAACACAGAAAGAACAGAAATGTGTACACATTGCAAGTCATTAGTTCAAGCCCACCAAACGTTTCCTGAGACAATTACCTTCACTGCTATAAAATTTGCTTTGCACAGTCCTCTGGAGCGTTACTAATTGCTTTTCTTAACCTCCAGAGATTAAAGGATTTTGAAATGAACATATAGACAAGTAGAGACTTTAATTTCAAATCTAAGCTTTATTAAGGCAAGCTCTGTTTTATGAAATAGGGTCATTAAGAGAATGTTTCATGTTGGAAATATCCAATCCTAATCTCCTCATCTTCCTCCAGTCTTGAGAAATTGAACTCTGCCTGTATCTCTTAAAAATGCAGTGCCACCTCAACTCATTTCCATCTGGCATCAGCTCTATGTCTCATCTTCAAGAGTACACAGAACCATGTTGGCACTTGTTTCTCAAATCCTTTTCCACTAGGGGGTATGATAGACTGTGACTGTATCTCACAGTAAACCTTCGGTGTGATATTGTAATACTGAAGTACACACACACGAGGGAGAGGAATAGGCATGCAAAGCTTGGTACATAATTTATGGAGATTCAAATCCTGTCATTCATAAATATAATTATAACCTACGGCTTGAAAGTGATATGGACCTTGCCATATTGATCATGCTCCAGCTCTGTTTATTCAGATCATTCATTTGTTGACAGGGAAAATATAAGAAGAATGTTGTTAGTCATAAAACAATTAATGAAAGGAGATACTTCTATTTTACACAAAGAATATTCTTTGTTTCTGTGTGTGTTGTACCCTCCCACCTTCAGATGAGAAATATAAACCCAAGGGGAGGGGATATTATTAAATCAGCAATCAACCTTCAAGTCATTTTGGTATAAACACTGTAATTATTTCATCTCTAGTAAACAGAATAAAAGACAACAGCACATAAGGGTGACAATTTGCAATATGCTTTGAATGTCTTTGTTAAAAAAAGCCCTATTATGACTGAAGGCAACATTACTGAAATTTAAAAAAAAAAAAAGCAGAAGTTGTGACAGCCAACAGAGGAGGTAATTAGTCAGTAAATTTTGAATAATAAATTTAGCAGGTCATTGCAACAGACATTATATTTTATGTGGGGAGAAGTCACTGTTTATTAGCTGTGAAGCCAGGACTGCTTACCTTTATTCAAAAAATCATCCTAACAAAATGTAAGAAAAAAGTCCTTAGTGTGGTTACGATTGTATAGTCCCGATGCCTTCCAAAACTCCCAATCTTCTCTTACTTAGGTGGGTATAAGTTCATTTATATCAGAAGAGTCGACTACAAATTTGCATAGGTGCAATTGTAGTAGCATACAGCTTGGGGGAGGGATAGACAAAAAAATATTGTTTTAATCACGTTTCTATAACATTTTTAATCTCAGTTGCAGCAGCTGTGTGTCTCAGATGTAGGTTAGGTTAGCCCGGACATTGTGGTTACCTATGTGAGCGCTCTCCCCTCCCCAGCTGAGTGCTGGCTGATGTAAGCAGCCAGGAGGGATGCCTCTGCTCCCCCCAGCACCTCCCTCAGCTGTGGGAATGGTTTGTTTGCAATTCGTCAGGTCATAAACAAACGTGTGCACTTCAGCGAGCCTCTGTACTTAGAGCCTTGTAAAGACAATTGCCATTAATATTAGCGAGGCTTCAGAGGCTTTGACAGCCTCACAGAAAAGCAGTCTCATTTACTCGGCTTAAAATTCCTGGTTAGGAACTATCAGGGGTGCATTTTATACATCTTGGAACCTTTTTTCAGGCTGGTTGACCTCTTGTTAAAAAGCCTTTAAAAAATATTTTGCAGTCAAATAATTACTGGTTTTGTTTAAATGTTCTCATCCGATACATAATGAACAGTGAGGAATTCCCCAAAGGGCATCTTTTGTTATTGAAATGTTTATTTATTGAGTGCTTTTGCCAGAAGCCCCCCATGAGAAAAATCTCATTTTATGAGCTCCTGAAGCAGTCAGTTCCCAAAACATCAGGCAAAAATGCAATTTTGACCAAGTAATCTCGAGGTCTTTTATTTGCTTTTAAATAAACAGAATGCCAAGGTGCAAAAAGTTGTGACAAGAGCTACTTTATTTTTTGTACTTTGTGAATATGCCTGGTGAAGCCATGCTGGTGTGGTGCTCAGGTGATTTCTTATGTACAAGAATTCAAAGGAAAACAATATCCCGCAGAGCAACATATGAGTGGGTGTTTTAAATGATTCTGAGATTTATTCTTTCCTGGAAAATGATAGCATTAGCACAATAGCATCCCACTTGCATAAGGAATTTTTTTCCCCACCCTGTTTTTTGCTCTTTATTTCCTTGAGTAGTGAGGAGAAATGACAGTGTTTGTGGCAGCACATAAATGGGCATGACTTGGATCCTCTCGTGTTCCTGGATTATCCAGCTGGAGTCACTAGAGAATAGTGCCATGGCTGCTGAAAGGCTTCACTCCTCGGAAATCCCCGTCTCTCACTGCCTGGGCTGGGTCTCTGAAATGATCCAGTTTTAATCTATGTGACTTTAATGACGCCAAGAAGTGCAGGGCTGCGGGGAGTGGGGCAGGGGAGAACGATGGGGATGAAGTGGGGAGTGGCCAAGAAATAGAAGAAAAACTCTCAAGTAAGGGAAGGAGGGCAGGAAGCTTTTTATGTCTTTGCTGATAGAGCCAAAGTGTAACTACGTCGTGCTTGAAACTTTGTGTTCGTTCCAGGTTCTCAGCTATAATGGGCTATGCAGTGAAGATTTGAGGAGAATATCTAAAGTTTCCCCCCTCCATCTTTGTTATGCAACAGCTCTATACTGGGGTGATGCCTACTTATATTTAAAGCAGATTGCTCATTGCCCTGCAAATATCTGAGCACCCAGAGAGAAATCAGCATTTCTCTTACGTGGGCAATGCAGAAAGGGCAGTAGTTATATTCAGTGTTTGGTATCCTGAAATTCCTAGGTGGATTTTATAGTTGATTATCCCAGTATTAGTGACAGAATTGGGGAACAGCCTGGAATTTTGTAAAGCGGTTATCTCAAATAAAAAGTACTTTGCGATTGTTGAGTATTATGATCTACAATATTAATATGATGTTGAGAAATGTTTTATAATTACCTAACGTTACTAAAAGTGTTTCTTGGCCATTAGTGACTGGGCATCTAGAGTGTCCTTTAGCAGTAAAATCTCTGGGTTTTTTCTTCCCTTCTTCAAGGAGTGTTTGGAGCAAAATGATTGATTAGTGGCAGTTCCTGTTAAGTCCAGAATAAAATGTGCACAGTGCTTGCTTTGCTACTAAAAGATTAAAAGACTATTTCTTATTCTTACTGTGATTCCCTTTGTGACCTCAAAGCAAAGTCTTATGGTTAATAATAGAGATTTTTTGTGCCTGAAATGGAAAAAGTTTAGAGGTATTTCTGTCTAGGATATGTGTGATGCAATTAAGCACACTTCATTAAGTGCTCTCCATTTTATGAATGCAGAAGATGAACATATTACTAAAAAATAATTTAATACTTCATTTCAAGCCCTGCAACAAAAATATATTTCAATTTATTTCTTTTATGCAGCAATTTTTCAAATTTCATTCTCTCATAAGCCACAGCTATAGAAGGTCAAAATATGTTAATATACGAGTCCAGCCAAGAGTTCACCTTATAAGTAGGGTTTTTCCTCATAGTATAAGTGTAATTCTTTTCACTGATAATCTGAATAATAAAAACATAGAAACTTGCATAATACATAATATGTAAGTAAACTTTTATAAAATAGGGCCAATTTTTGTTCTCCTTGAGCACCTACACCCTTCTCCTCTGTAAATTCTTACATTAATATTTCCATAGTCTCTTGTTACCCACAATTTTTTTTCAGAACTATATTTACCATGTGTTTATATGTATTTTTTATATTTTTCATGGATAAGTATTTTAATGTAGTTTTGAGGACATCCAAACTGAAATTTCTTCATTCTTTTCATTAGATGTGTACGTGAATTGTATATTTTTTGGGATGGATGGAGAATGAATGCAACATTACTTATATGGATTTATTTTTCTTTACAAGTGCACAATGATATTTTTTTGTGAAACCCTGAGTACTTTATTCTGCCTCTCTTCATCTGGCTAGCCAGTACCTTCCTCTGTAAAGGTCTTGTAGGTTTTAGTGCTGTAAAGGACCATCAGAAAGGTCCCTGCAGAGTCAAATCATTTCCCCTCATAAGTTATTCAAAGAGGTGATTACTTCTGTTGTTAAAAGATAAATACTTTGCGGTATCTTTCTGATCAAGATCGGCTCTTGGATCAGATACGTTCAAAATCTTTTCCCCGCATGTGTTCCTGCAGAATATGATCAAGATAAATATTCTGAGTTTCTATATTGTCCCTCTGACTTGCGGTTGTGACAACAGGACTAAGCTTGTGTTGATGTTAAGCAAATAAAATGTAAAACTACCTGTAATCTTCTTTGGATGCTGAATTCCAGTGATGGTCTGTGCTGTACTTGGGTGAATAACAATTCCAGTGCCTCCATTTTGCCACCTTCTTAATGAGAATACTATTTACAGGAGTGTTCTGAAGTTTAGTTAATGTTGTTGGAATTCTTTCAAACAGGCACAAGATACACACAAGAAACCACAAGAGGTATAAAAATGTATGCAAATGTAGCTAATGAAGCAAAAGGAAGAGGGCTAAATGGTGTCTTAATAGGTTCTCTTTAAAAACCTATTTTGATAAGGAATATTATGCCATGTCTCTTGATCATGAATCTTACATTTTTTAATAATCTCTTTCAGTGTGCTGGGACCAGCTGTGACCTTCAGAGTGCACTCAAACCTCCAAAACATTTCAACTGCAGATGTTGCCAAAGAAGCAGGTAAGTCCTTGTCCTCCACTCCCAAACTGTGACCACCCACACGTCTGTTTAGCAGTCAGTGGCACTACAAACAGCACAGGCACATCCTATTCTCCCAGACTGACATTTAAAGAGAGAGACAGTTCAGAGGTGAGTGGCACATGGAAAATTGAATCTTAACATCTCTGAGTCAATTAAAACTGTTTGAGACTTCCTTGTTTGTCAAGAAAATGAGTTAGAGACTTGTAGTCAAGTTCCAGAATGGCGAAAAACTCTTCAGTGTTGTCATGAGCTCATAAAAACAGATTAGTCATCTAATCTAGGATGTAATGCCTTCACTTTTCTGATACTTTTTTTTTTTCAGGGAAAAAAATGTTATTACATCTTAGTTTCTGGATTTAAAAAATGGTAGAAATATGTCTTTATTGGTGTGCTGTTTAAACAATTTCAATGACAAGATAATCTTGGGAAAAAAGGTTGCATTTCTAGAATTAAGCTGCTTCCTGTTGGCTCCTTGTCAGTTTGGCTGTTATGGAGTTTTGAGTGCAAGAAATAATTTCTGCAAAGTAACTGAATTGATAACTGATTTGTTTCCAAATTACTCAGTTGGTAGGTTTTAAAAATCAGAAGTAAACAAGTTGCTTGAAAATAGAAGCAGAAAAAGTTCATTTAAATAAATACCAGGAGCCACAAGCTGTCCATTAACTTCTACTTTTGCTTCACCATGGATGAATTAAATTATAGAAAGAACTGGGGTAGCTCCCATGCCAGAATATTCCTTTTCAGGAACAGTCTTGTTAGCTGGTAATTAGAGAATAGCAAATGGGATATAATTTTTCTTAAAAGAGTTTAATATGTTAAAAAACCCTAGATGTGTACTGTCAAAAATAAGAAATTAAAAGAAAGTAAGTATTGAATTATGTGTCTCCTGAACGTATAATATCTTCCTGGGAAAAATTAATATGCCTTTTTTTTAGCAATGCCCTTCCTGTCTTATAAACCTGTTCAACCTCTCTGAAGGGATCAACAAATATGATGCTGTTGGTAGATCCTGCCTAGATTGCCAATGGCTTTTGACAAGGTCTTCCTGTAAGTTTCTAAGGAAACTAATAGTTTCTTACAATATGGAATATGAAAAACAAAATGGTGAATCAGTAACTGGTTAAGAAGCAGGAAACAGATTAGAAATAAAATATTAGTTTTCTAAAAGGCTAGATATAGGGGGAAAAAGTGGAAGGGTCTCTGTTGGGACTGTGAACAGGATGATGAGAAATCCCACTAATAATACTGAATTATTCACAGTTTTAAAGGTGAAACTTGATCTTAGAAATGTATAAAACCCTTACCAGACTGAGTAAATGGATTCAAAATGGTAGAAGAAATTAAATGTAAATTACTGTTAAAAAATTTTCATATGGAGAAAAAATAGCTTTACATGCAAACTTATATGTGTAAACAGTAATACAGTTAGTGTAGTAATAGGTAATTTGATGGAAATGACAATTCAGTCTCCATTATCAGTTGAACAAGGAAAGTGTTTTTAAGAATTATTTGGAAAGGAATAGAAAACACAACAATACTGTTTACTCTTGCATAAATCTGTCCTTTGCCTGTATTTAAATACAACATGTAGTTCTGCTTCTCATACCTCAGAGAGATTGGAAATTCTGGTTGAAATGGAAATATTCAGAGAAAGGCAGAAGGCATGACTGTAAGTATGGAATATCTTCCATATATCAAGTGGTGCAGTAAGGCAGGAATCTTTATTTTGGAAAAAAAAAAAGATGAGTAAGGTATGGGAAAGGTCTGTCAATTCCAGAACGGCACAGTGAGTGTGCACAAGACTGTGCAACTGCTCTTGCAATGCATGAAAGGTAAAACTGGCAGAGAGCAGGTTCAAAATGAAGCAGAATGCAATTTATATCTTTGCCAGTTGAGAATAATGAAGCTTACATGTGTTCAAAAATTTACAGGCAAGCAAGGTAATGGAATAGACATCCACTGAAATTTAGCAAGTCTGTGGAAACATTGCCAAGCCCAGGAGGTTCCTGATGCGCCTTGGCCTGTTCCTAACGAGCTATTCTGAAGTGTATAAATGTTGTGACTTATTTCAGCAAAAGTCAAGAAGTAACATTCTTTTCTTACCACTGGGATCAAAGTAGTTATTTTCAACTTTCTTAACTTAAATACTGATGGCAAAGTTAGGAAAGTTCTGGGGACAAAAAATGCCACCCCAGAGAAAGGGCGACAAAGGTGACGAAGGATCCGGAATGTAAATTCTCTGAGGGGAGGCTGAGGGAGCTGAGATTGTTCAGGGAAGACTTTATCACTCTCTACAACTACCTGAAAGGATTTTGTGGCAGTGGGGGTGTCAGCCTCTTCTTCCAGGCAACCAGTGAAGGACAAGGGGAAATGGACTCAAGTTATGGCAAGGGAGGTTCAGGTTGGATATCAGGAAAAATGTCACTGAAAGGCTGGTTAAGCATTGGAACAGGTTGCTTAGGGAAGTAGTGGAGTCATCAAACTTGGAAGTGTTCGAAAACTAACAGACACAGCATTTTGAGATGTGGTTTAGTGGGCATGATGGTATTTGGTTAAAGGTTAGACTTAATGATCTTGGAGGTCTTTTGCAATGAATGTGGTTTTATGATTCTATGAATTTCTACAGATTCAAGAATTAAAATTAATATTTTATATTTTAATTTTATATACTCTATATATTCATATCCCAGGCATTTTCTAACTTCTGTTTGCTTAGCAAATTAGAATTTTCAGTTTTGATGGCTGCAGGAAGAAGTTTGTAGGAGTCTGACATGAGCTCCTCCTGGTATGTCAACATGGCCATAGTATTGTTATAACTAAACCTTGTGTTACATTTTACATAAAAAGTTTAAGCACACTTCTTACTTTCAGATCTCTAAATAGAAAAATATATTCACTTAAAAAATCAACAGCAATATATACTTATATAAGAAGTTTTTTCAGGCTCCAGTTGTAATTATAATTTTTTAAAGTCAACAGTGTCTTGAACAAAAGCACTCCAAATACTTAATTTACCAAGGGAAACGAAAACAGAATAAACCAATGATACTTCCAAGGTAGGCACAGGTAAATGCATTACTCCATGCAGTTAGGTAACTTGACATCCATCCGGGAACTCTGATAGCAGATCTTTTTTACAGAAAATAAGTAGACCAAACGGACAGAAGAATTTCACTGTCTGAAATTTTAATTTCACATCCTTAGAAATTAAAAGAATTTTGAAGTTGAGGTAATCAGATACCATAATAATTATAGGAATGTAAATTATCCATATTTGCAAAAAGGAATCTATTTGTGCAGATGTGATGCACGTGCAAGTCTCACTGATAGCCACAGGAACAGTTTCTGTGCAGCAGTTTGATCTTGTTGTTCATGCAGCATATATCTTTGTAACCAAAAGGGATAAACTTCCTATTTTCCTTACACTATTTAGGTTTGACAATATGGAGTTTGACAATATGCAAGTTAGAGAAGACATGGGACTCCTTAACAACTATTCAAATACATGAATTACTTAGAATATTTACTAAATAACAGAGATATGGAAGGATGACAACAAAAAAAAGTTTCCTATGTTTTCCTGGAGTTTGAGGTTCATTTTTGTTAGTGTACACAAGGCCTTGCTTGAGGCAAAATAAACTCTAAAATCCTTTAGCCATATCTTTGCTGATAAAACTTTTTTTCCCAGTAATCCACAGTTCCAATTCTGTGTAAATGTTTTGATTACTTTTTCTTTGCAGTTTCTAGGGCTACATAATTATATGGGGAAGCTGACAACAGAGTAATTTAAAATTGTGAATAGCTTGCTTTCTCACATTAACAATACCTTTATTTGCAGTTTGACAACAGAGCAGGACAGCCAACATTTTGCCAGTTTCACACACTTTGACGTTCACAAAATAGAACACATCTTGCATCAAGTAGCTGTCTTTTGGCCTAATTCTGTTTAATAAGTCAGGTTCAACGGTGCAGTGTAATTTCATCTCAGTGTTTTGAAGAAATAAACTTTCTCAAGACACAGATGACCTGCTCTAGAAGTAATTACACTTGGCACATGAAATCATGTAGACAAACAAATGTTTCAGTTTAAGAGTCAGGAGAAATATAGCAGAGAACAATTATCAGTAAGATAACTCTATATAAAATCGTAATATATTTGGTACAGAAATAAGCAATGAAGTTGCTTTACAGGTACTGCAGAATCCCACCATTTATGCAAATATTTGTATAGTAACAGTGATAATTAGAAAAGCAGAAATTTCTAAAGTTTCCAAGCAAAGAATTTTGGCATCAGATGCCTGTAATGATATATTGCCCACATGAAACAGAGATGTAGGAGAGAAGTTTTGGGTACAGACACTCAGCATTGCTGAATTTAAATAAAAGCATTTGCTTGTATGCAGCTGCAGCCTTTTGCTGTTAGAGTTATGCTTGCATTTTTATTTTTTATTTGTATTGTATTGAAATGCAACCTTTCTAAGTGTTATAAAAAATGGCAACTAGAAAGCAAAGGGCTGTAGGCATAGTGCAGGCATTGGTGATGGGGACAGACAGCACAGCAAAAGGCAATGCATAACCAGATATTAGGGAATTAACAGGTCTTGTGTTCAGGTTCTTGTGTCTTAGATATATTGTGATATACACCAGTATGGAAAGTCATAAATTTTGATTTAGGATTTTTTATATATACATATATATGTGTGTGTATACATATATATATATGAACATTAAGAAAAGTTTTCAATGTTTTTTTGATTCCTCTAACTTATAACCAAGCTATTGGTTTGATTTTGGTTTGAGGTTTGTTTTTTGTTTGTTGGGGCTTTTTTTTTTTAATTTTTCTGTTGCCTGCTGGTAAAATTCACATTTTCACACCATGCATGGTCTGATAGAGACTATTATCCTGACTTAGAGAGGAGGGTGTTGAATCATGGAATCTTCCTGTCTAAAAGTCATTTCTCTGCCTGCTGTTTAATTCT